AAGTGGCCCATCATTTTAGCTTGATCCATGTCGTTGGCCGGTGGCACCACATTTTGATTTCCTCTTGCCATTTCTGGAAGATACTAGAGTTAATCGTTTGCTTGTAAGCTCACTATATTTGATCATCTCTAGAGTTCGAATCCATTCATGGGTAGAATCTTAAGCCCCAACTCATGTTATTCTATTATGCACGTAATAATAACTTAACTCAAATAGCTTACCTCAGAGTTAGCATGGTGCGACGGTGGCGAGTGGTCATTTCTTGAAAATATTTTAAAATATTTTTACGAGTCTACAGAACCACAAAACTTGGGCTCTGATACAAAACTGTAACACCCCGCTTTTCGTACATTGAATTTCTATAATAATTTTTTTTTTTCTTTTTATAAAACTTTTGAAAACTTTACTTGGAACTCAGGGTGCTACTTACTTTGAAAAACGTTTCATACATAATCCTTTCATAACCATAAAACTTTTCATGAAACATAAACATTTCATACGTGAACATAGAACATTTCATGGCGTTGCCTTGAGAACTTACACTTTAACTTGACTTGCATGAACCATGACTTATTTCATAAAATAAACTTTGCATAGCGGAAGCTTTTAAAACATAAATATCATAAACATAAAAACATGTGACCACCCTCGCCATCGCTCCTTTGCCAGCTCGCCAAAAACCTGGGTGTGGAAAACAAAAGGGGTGAGCATTTCCACTTACTCCGTGAGAGATCCCTCTATGTTATCATCCTAATCAACTATAAAGCATGAAATCATTTTTGTATACTCCACATAGTCATGTGCTCCCGACGACCCACAAGTCGAAAGACTTTCTTGCTTCTACAACACTATTAGACAACTAAACACTAGAGTCTTTGCATGCAGGCGATTACATTCTTGTCACACTCCCACCACTCATCAAACTTCTTATACCACTTTAGGGTGGTGGAAGAACAATGCCTCTCGCAGATGGCACGGCCAATTAGGCTTGATGAGAGTACCTTTCAATAGGTTGAAGGAAGATAGCCTTTCACTAAGCTCCGTACAGTCTTATCGACGGGGACAACCGTTCGAAGAGTGCACCAACGAAGGTTACACATAATCACTTACACCCTCTAACCCTAGCACTTAGCTATCCTCTAGAGTTATAGTCCATGAACCTTGATACTGCAACAAACGACTTGCTCGAATGTTGGAACATTGAATAAACATGGGTACTATGCAAGCTACTTAACTTCATTCATAGCATAGATAATTAAAGATGATTAATAAAGTAGAACTTCCCCCACCTTTTCAGTAGAATGCTCGGCTTAGACTTGAACTTGAAAGAAATCTCGAGGGCTCGACTCCTCGTAAAACTATATTCATTGGGTTCATGTCTTAGTGTCTTAATATGGAACTTATTCTTATACTTATACTTATAATCATACATAAGCTTTAGAAAAACTTTGCTCGCTTGGCTTCGCCTTGCTTGCATTCTTTTGAAAACATCTTCTTAGTTAATGCCTTAGGCGGATTGATGACTGAGCTTGCTTAAAAGACTTAAATTGCATCTAAGATTCATGATAACTTCAAAGAGATCATCTTGGTTCAAACAGATCACATAAAATAAAAAGAAAGGAATATACCATTTATGAAATCACCACACTTAGTTCATGAAATTTCAGCATACCCAGCAGTAGTAAAACAAGTATAGTTTTTAGTACACAAATGATATAAACGTGAAACCAGTGGCATTTAAAACTTAAAACATGCACCTACAACTTTCATTTAGCACTCAAAAGCAAATACGGTCATATACATGGTCCAAAATTAGCAAACATTCAAAGCTAAAATTCTGTCCAGAACTTTAAAATAAATTCATGCGCGGTTTTACGAAAACAGGTATCATTCACCATTCGGACCATATTTTTGCTTGTTTCCAGAACCACATCAAAGGTAACACATAGAACTACAATTTCAATGAAGACTCCAGGTACATTTGAGCAAATTATCATATCATAAACACGCAAAACATCCAGACCTAACTGCAGCCAGATTTAAGAAAAACTGCTTGCGCGACAATTTTGTAAAAATCATAACTTACTTGAATAAACATATTTTTCCAAGATTCTAGCAGCCACATAAAGATAACAGAGAATACTAACTTTCTTCAGAAGAACTCACCTTCAAAAAACCAGTTCATAAAGGTCAAATTAGACGAACAACACAGACATAAAAACAGCACATTTCCAGTTTTTCATTCATACAAAACTTCAGTAAAACATCAATAACTTGAGCTGGAAGACTCTAAATCATGAAATATCACATCTTACAGAAACTAAACAAGTAGGGTTACACTTTTTATGAAGAAAACTTAAGCATTCGGGCACGATAACATCATCAAAACTGATCCTACATTCAACATGTCTAACCTGCCACTGCTATGTAAAAACTGGATGCCAACTCGACTTGTAAAAATCACATAAAATTCATTTGAACTTATTTTTTAAAAATTCCAACTCTCTCTAAAACATAACTCATATAGCTACAATTTTTATGTTCAGCACTACTGCATATAAGCACGATTAGTTCATTAAAATAGGCCATACATTCAGCACCTATACACAGCCCGACATTAGAAAAACTGGATGCAGAACTGACTTGTAAAAATTATATAAAATCCATATGAACTCCGATTCCCAAGATTCTAAAACCTACAGAAACATAACGAAATTTGCCACATATCTTATGAAGAATACATTCCCAAGAAACGAGTTTATGATTACCAAAAACGGCTCACAACAGAGGCCATGAAATCTGAATTCATCAACCATATTTGAACAATAAAACTTTTAACTCCTCAACTCATCACTTCAGCCTTGAACTTGAACTCTAACATTTTAGTAACACATTTTAAACACATAAAATCCATCATCAATCTCAACTCATGCTATACAATTAACATAAGCACATAATACACAAACCAAGTCATCAATCCTTAATTAAAAAAATTAGAATTCTTCCTCTTGATTATCAATCTCTTAGAATTCACATTAGACCCATAATTCTCGGCCAGAGGGAAAAGGATCATGGTTGTTTTACCTCGCTCAAGAAACGAGAAAACGAAACGGCTTGGGACTTCGGCTTCACTCGCTCGTGAAAGGAAAAAAAAAGGACCCATTCTTTTTTTTCGCACGATTTAAGAGAGGAAGAGATTTTGAGAGGAGAAGGTGTTTACGATCAAAAAAGATTAATCTCTTATGGTATAAGGCCTCCTATATAGGAAGGTATTAAAGAGATTTGAAGTGGCTTTAGGACTCCTAATGTGATAAGGCATTTGATTTCCTTTCATCTTACTATGACTTGGTAGGAAAGAAAAGTCTTTTCCTCTTTCTCACATGTACGGTTTAGGGGAAATTATATAGGGTTATTGGACTGATTTTGAGCTCAATTTATCATCTTAATAATTATTATCTTCATTAATACATTAAAATTATATTATTTAAATTAAGCCATTTCATAATTAAAATTATATTAACATTATTGCATTTAATACTTGGGAAAATTAAATAGATGAGGACATCTAAATAATTCCCTTTTTAATCATTAACTTGATAAATAAATGAGTGTGGACACTCATTTAATTATCACATAAAATCGAGCTTACAATAAAAATAAAACTAACTTTATAAATCATTAAATTAAACATAAATAATATCCATGAAAAATAATACTTAAGCATAAAATGAATGACATGAGTTTGGGGTGTTGCAAGATCTATCTCCCATTTGGCGAACGACCAAGGACTGAAAAACTGACATGAGCGGATTAGTCGGTTGCTTCAAATTCGGGGCGAACGTTTTGCATTTAGCGCATCGTCTTACAAGATCGAACGAGTCCCTCTTTATCGTAGGCCAGTAGTATCCCCGCCGTAGGATTTTGTGTGCCAAAGCTCGTCCGCCCGAATGGTTCCTACATACTCCTTCGTGTACTTCTCGCATGACTCGTTCGGCCTCGTCGGCTCCTACACACTTGAACAATGGGATCGAGTAGCCCCTCTTGTATAACGTTCTTCCTACGATTGTGTACCTCGCTGCCTGGATCCTCAGCGATCGGGCTTCTTTGGGACTTGTCGGGAGTTCTCCCATCTCTAGGTATGAACGGACTGGATCCATCCATTCAGAAGATTTGTCGCCGGTTGACTCCCCGATCGTCATTGATTTGCTCCGTCTGGATAGCCGGTTTCTCCTGGTGTCGTGTGTATACATATTGGATCTCGTCCGTTCCTTGACTAGATGCCAACCGTGCCAACACATCTGCCTGGGAGTTTTCTGACTGGGGAACGTGTTTGAGCTGGATGTTTGCTCGTGTCATCCTCTTGCGAGCCAAGTGTAAGTATGGCACCAAACAAGTTTCCTTCGTCTCGAACTCTCCCGAGATTTGCTTTGCTAGCATTATTGAGTCCGAGTACACTTTTAAATTTGTGATGTTCATCGAGTGGGCCAAATCCAGACCAGATAACAGTGCCTCGTACTCGGACTCGTTGTTGGTCGCGGCGAACAAGTATCAGACCGAATGGCAATACAGCTTTCTCTGAGGGCTGACGATCACAACTCCTCCCTCGGATCCGTCGGTCATGGCCGACCCATCTATGTACATCTCCCATGTCTCTGTATTCTGAATTGGCTCGGCCCCCATCATGAACTCGGCCACGAAGTTAGATAGCGCTTGGCCCTTTATCGCCGTCCGGGGTTTGTATTGTAGGTGGAACTGTCCAGCTCGACGGCCCACTTGATCATTCGTCCCGACGTATTTAGTTCGTGAAGGATTTTCCGTATTGGATAAGCGGATAGGACGATCACCCGATGTTCAAGAAAATACGGCCTGAGTTTTCTCGAAGCAATCACCAAGGCAAAAATCAACTTCTCGATCGCCGGGTACCGGACTTCAGCTTCATGTAACGCCTTGCTTACGTAATAAACCGGATGTTGGTTCAAATCTTCTTCTCGGACGAGCACGGCGCTTATAGCAATCGAAGTTATTCCTAGGTATAAATACAACATCTCTCCTAGGATTGGTTTCTGTAGAACGGGTGGTCGGACGAGCGACTCCTTGATGTAATCCAACGCGTGTTGGCATTCGGCCGTCCATTCAAAATTTTTGTTCTTTTTAATTGCCTCGAAAAAGGGCTTACATTTATCCGTGGACTTAAATATGAATCTATTTAATGCTGCTAACCTACCCGTTAGACTCTGTGTTTTCCTTATCGACCTAGGGGGTTTTAGTTCGAGTATCGCCTTAATTTTGTTGGGGTTTGCTTCGATTCCCCTTTGGCTAACAACGTATCCTAAAAAATTACCCGAACCTACTCCAAACGTACACTTCTTTGGATTTAACACCATAGAGTAATCACACAAAATAGAAAACTTTTCATTAAGATGAGTTACATGATCGTTCGCAAAAACAGACTTAACAAGCATATCATCCACATAAACTTCCATGGTTCGTCCGATTTTTTATCTGCCAACATCTTGTTTATGAGCCTCTGGTAAGTAGCACCGACATTCTTCAGACCGAATGGCATCATGGTATAGCAGTAGAGTCCCTTGGCCGAATAGAAAGATGTGTGCTCCTCGTCGTTCGGGTCCATTGGGATCTGATGGTACCCCGAATAAGCGTCCATGAAGCTCATGAGTTCGTGTCTGGACGTCGCATCCACCATGTAATCGATGGTAGACAATGGATATCTGTCTTTGGGACAGGCCCGGTTGAGATCGCTGAAGTCGACGCACAATCGCCATGTCCCATTATTCTTCTTCACCAAAACCGGATTGGATACCCAAACTGGATACTTAGCTTCGTGGATGAACTGGTTGTCAATCAGCTTTATCACTCTTCCTTCGAGTGCTCCTTGTCGCTCCGGTCCCAGCTTTCTCCTTTTCTGTACGATTGGTTTCATCGTTCGGTCGATTCGGAGGCTATGGCACGCCAAGTTCAGATTGATCCCCACCATATCTTCATGTGTCCAGACGAAGACATCTGCATTTTCGATTAAAAAGGAAATTAACCTAGACTGGATGGGTTCGCCTATATTCCTTCCTGTTGTCAAATGAGAATTAACAATGATATCATCGATAAGGATTTGAAGTAAACTCAGTATAAGTCAACAGAAGCTTATATGTCTGATAAAAGGAAATGGAAATTTTTCTGATTATTATTATTGTATCTGTTTGTGTCTCTTTTTTGGAGAACTGTTTTCTCTTTTTATATTTACGTACAACATTTATCTGTAAAGTAATCATTACATTTGAAAGGTCAAAGGCGGCTTCTCGCGATTTCTCAAGGTCAAAGGCGGCTTCTTGTTATTTCTCTTGATAGCATGCCACTTGGATAAACATAATGATGATTTGTGCTGAGTTGTCACCGCCTTACAGTGTTGAAGTGGCACATCATAGATATCGGTTCGTCCAGTTATAACCAATATGTTGTATCCGACATGTAGTGACCGACATGTGATAACCGACATGAGATATCGGTCAAGTAACGGTGATGTCGGTCCTTGCTGAATCTCTTGTTGTGCAATCGTCTTGAAGTCTGTGTAAACGTCATGTACTTGTACGAATTTTAATTATCCCCATACTGACCTTAATCGTCTAATCAACGTTGCTTAACTTGGTTCATTGAAAATGATATCAACAAGGTGGCCCCCAGCATTAATGGTCGTCTGGACGGAAGACGGGCAGTGATGCTGAAGCTTTATCGGGAAGGAACTAAATTCTTGGATCTACATGACATGTCGGTTTCATCATCATTCCTCCGATGTCTCTACACTTGGTGGAAATAATACTTAAAAGCTGAAGCGGTGCACTTTATTGAAATTAATTGCACCGTTTCATTAATAGGGGTAACGGTCACTTAAAATAGGCCACGTAGCTGCTGTTAAAAGGCACGATTTTCAAGAGTCGCGTCGACTCGCAAACCCAGGACGTGTAATCCACGCGCCCCTATTTCTGCCGGTTTCCAACGGTCGCTATTAAATCCAGGGTTCAGTATAAATAGGAATTCTTCTTTTGAGATCTACTTTACTTTTATTTTCTTCTTGCTATCGTCTT